GTCGTCTCATCTCCGAGCTGGACGCTCGTCTACGTGACTGCCGGATGCTTACCACTAGTCCACAATCATCGTCAATGAGCTCCTACTCAAAGTGAGTGACTATGCTCGGAAGAGTGACGAAACGTCAAACCTCAGTTGGGCTGCCTTACTTTTCGCTACATAACTCAGATTTGAACTGGAAAAATTTGAATGTTATGGCTTCAAAGTGGTTTGAGCTCACACTGTACATCAAAATGTATTCTTGTCACTGCCAACATTTTGCGAAATGATAAATTTTATTCTGAGATTTGTTTCATTGGATTTTCATTGAGTGTATAGACAAATACCCATACAGATCAACTTTCTCTTGCCCGTTTTCGTGCCACTTCATTATCCTGAAATTTGATAATCACAAAAATGCAACGATCTGTAACTCAGAAACTTTGCTTGGCTACAGCCTAGAAAAAAACTCAAGTACGCTTTTTCAAAATGACAGTCGAAGAGGTGTTGAAAAACTTACAGTGCCAAATTCGTAGTAATGAGGTGCCAATTCATATAACCAATGTGGTTCAATCACCGAGATATCTCTGATGGAGTCTTGCATAGCTTCCGTGAAAATAACCCTGTAATGATCCATTCAGTAGAATGGATGTTGCATCAGTTCTGAAAAGGAAGTTTACCAACCACTTTGGGTAATCCTTTTTATACATTATAACAGATCCTTTGTACACATTGAAAGGAAATTCTTCCTTCACAGTGACATACTTTCCAGTATAATGATATCTTGCTGCTTGAGAAAAGAAACCAGATACAAGGCATCTGATAATCTTTGTAGCTCCGCCTAAAAACAAGTTGAATGTGTGCAGATGTCTTAGTCCCAGTAAAGCACCGAGAATCTCCGCGGATACCAAATCGCATTAGTATGTTTAACCCACCTGGTTCCCCTCTCGTTGATACAAGAGGCACGCCAAATCTCCTCAGCAATCTTACTAGTTGTTGTCGCACGTTATCAGCTCGGCAAAGACCCCGATAGTTGAGAAAATGGTCGCCACACCATTTACGGCTCCGATTATTCTGAATATCAGTTATGCAAATATGACGAAGCGCCTTGCGGAGGTCAAACAATCACGCTCATAACTTCGCTTGCGCAAAGAAGTCATGATTGACATACTCTTATTGGTGAGGGCAAGTACTAGATTTCTCTGTCATAGTGCGAAATGATACCCGTCTTCCCCATCTCAGAACATGAGAGGATATCGCAGAGCATCGTACGGTCTATGGTTTCAGAATGCGCTGCAACATTTCGCAACATTTCTGATAATAATATCACGCCTTTTGTAGGCAGTGTCAAGAAACATGCGCACTATTATAAAAATATACAACTAGTGGACTAGATAGTCAAACTTTTGAAATCCTTGGGTTGTAAAATGTGAGCTCACCTGCACGAACATTGTGTAAACATTAAGATAACATATGTGATCTCCTTCTTCGGCAGCGAATCGTCGTTTAATTTCCTCCTGAAAAAACTGACTTTGATAAGTAATCTGATAAAGCGTACTAACTGCAAATTTCAAGGATGTTAAGTAAAACAACTTTCATCAAAAACTCACAGCTCGTTGTCGATTTCGAATTGGCGGTACAAACACGTCTTGAACTTGCAGCATAGCAATTATAGATGCAATCTCTTCACTACATCCAAAATCGCCTTAAAGACTCCAAGTTAGGAACGAAAAATCACCTCATTTTTGCAGGGAAAACTACCTGAAGTCAGAAGACATTTGCTGTGCATTGGCGGTAGAGGAAACTCAGACATGCGGAGTCCCAACGGGTTAGTGAGCATAGATCTAGATAGAAAGTCATAGATAGATAGTTAATGGTAGTCAGATAGAAAACATCGCCTAGAAAATCATAACAGAAAGCTCAACCAAAATTAACTTACTTTTCGTCCAAGGCACCTAGCGCATAGAGTAGCTCGAGAGCGTTGATCATAGACCATGATGGAGGTCTCTGCAAAAAAATCTATCACACTCAAAGAGCCGCAATCTCTGTGTCTGCGTTGAGGAAAATCAAGTATCAACCCTGTTCCCTTTTGATATCCGATACTCTATCTTCACTGAAAATTAGACACTAACGATGAAAATTTATAAGTGGATGAACTCGCAGACATACCGAGAGGTAATGAAACTTGTGTACATTCTGTATTCCAAGAGCTTTGAGCTGTAAAACGACGGGTGCTAAATGGCAACGCTGGATTTCTGGTATCGTTCCCTCGCCTAATTTCTCGAACTGAGACTCTAAAAAAGATCATGTCCTAGACTATAAAATTTGCAAGGTGAAGCACAAAATTTTCTAAAACAAACCAGGATATAATCTATAAGCTTTGCCTGGACGAATTCGACCCGCACGTCCTGCTCTTTGTTCTGCAGATGATTTCGAGATCGGTAATCGCATCAGAGTTTCTATCCCATTGTCAGGGTTCATAGCACGCAGCTTCACAAATCCACAGTCAACAACTGAAATCAAGAGAGTTTGCAGAGAAGAATTACACTGTACCATACAACAGAACCAACTATTTTGACAGCGAAAAAATGCCAGCTATTTAGCAAAAAGAAAAATTAATTTTCCCGGACCCACCATAAGCTATTCCGGGAATCGTGACGGATGCTTCAGCTATATTCGTAGCGACTACCACCTTTCTAGTACCATGTGGTGTAGAGTCAAACGCTTTCAGCTACAAAAAAAA